AGAGGTCCTGACGCTAGGAGAGCTGCTGGTTTTCTAAGGTTGGGGTTGGTGTACTTAAGCACCATAGCATAGTGCAGTCTGGTCCCAAGTTTGGTGATGAGATGAGTACATCTGACATCTGTTAGTGATTTCCAGTGTTGACTCCCAGTTAAAGACAGATTTTACATTACAGAATCTGCTTTTGTCAAAGAGCACTGCCTTGGATGTTGGTACGGTGAGAGATAAATAAATGGATGTGGTATCACTGGATACATACTCCCCTCCTAGGTTTTAATTGTGTGTCACATATAGCCAGATATTCTCACCAGATGTTTCTAGAGGGGGAGAAGATAAAAATAAATGAACAAGCAAAATTCAGTTTTACAGAATGAAGCAGCTGTCACAAAGGAAATCAATGGGATATGTGCGATTGGCCTTTTCGTAATGTATAATTACTGTAAGGCTCCTAATTAGTTGCCTTTTGACAATACATCTTTTAATACCAATTTGTAAGTGTCTGAGAAGGAAAGTTTACATTTTGTTTCTGTTTTGTAACCTCAGGACAGAATCAAGAAACCATGAGCATAGGCCCTTATTTGGGAAAAAAAAATCTCCCTCTGCAATTTATTAACATTTATTTACATTGAACGTACGCTCTGTGGTGCTATGTAGCCGCATAATGAAAGGGATCACCATCATGGGGTTTATCTTCTATACATGGCATGTTCTTGCTCTTCTCTTGATGTCCAGTTGTAGCCACTGCTGGAGATCTGAAAGGTCCACTGAGGTCTAACATTCTCTGAGCCCGGATGATTGCTCTTTACAGATTTGTATTTAGGGAGTTTGGCTTTGCGTGTATAGGTACACTGACATCACAGGCAGCAGACAACTACACCTATGTATCTCGGGATAGAAAAGCAGATGGGAAGTCTTCCTTCTTGGCTCCCTTCTGCCATGCCCTTCTTCCCTCGTTTGATCTTAGGCTACAAACAAGCGTGCTATGCCTTGTGAAAGCTTTCCCTTGATGTCATTTGAGTTACTTTTGTCCTTCTCCCTGGGCATGTGTGTGCTTGTGCTGTCTATTCCTTAAGCCCCAGCAGCCATGGCGTTGGTTTGGTGCCATGCTGTGGGTGATGTTGAGGTATGTTTGGGCTCCAAGTCCCACATTGTTATTTTGCATGAGGTTCACAAGGGTGCTTTGGAAATTGTTCACGCAGTTGAGCTGTATTTGGAAGAGTGATCAGGCAAGGGAAAAGAGGAAAACCACAGCAGAGGAAGCCCTTTAGCTTGGGAAGCAAGGGCAGGTTCTTCAGTGAGGTAGACATGCAGTATCCTTTAATAAATGTTGAGTTCTTCAGGGATAGGATTAATCTCATGTGACTTTGGGCACCTAAATGGGGATAATACTTGCTGTAGTTCTGTCTACTCGCAGTGAGGAGAGAAGCTAGAGAGCATTTGGACACCTGACTTGGCTGCATCTTAAATTCCTGAAGTGAGGTGTGACTAAACTAGATCAGAACTTTCCTAGCTCCCTTTGAAAGTCCCTGCCTTTATCAGGATCACCAGGGATCTCAGGTAAAACCTATCACGCTGTCAGCTCCCAAGCAGATGTATCTCATGACTTCTTCATTTCAAAGGTCCTTCATCAGGGCTAACCCTCCTACCGCAGGTCACCGCAAGGCTTTTCTGGGAGCTTGGCATTGCTGTTTCCTCTATGCTGGAGCTTCATCAGACCACAAAGTCATTGGAGCAGGTGCCAAACCCACCTAAACCATGACAGCTCAACTTAAATGCAAAGACACAGGCCGATCCTTGTCCCGTGTGGCTGCCTTCCCACAACTCCCGTTCCCCTGCCCAACTTTTCCCACTTGGCATCTTTGTCTCAAGAGACACTGTTGCTTTAACAGCTGTTTTGTTTCATTTAAACACCTACCTCAGCTCCTGTCCAAAATGCAAACATTTCATTAACACCTCATCTCCTTGGCTTCAGCCCGCAGCACTCAGCCGTAATGAAGTGCTGCACTCAGAAATATAATGCGGGGAACACTTGATTAATGCACTGAGACAGGTGAGGGGAACGACCCTCTGGGAAAAGCTAGGGACTAAATTCATCTCGGATGCAATGCCAGTGAAAACAGTCTACCAGCTTTGTTCAGAGACGTGCTAAGGACCTGACCCAAAGCCCTTGGAAATCTTTCTGGAGCTTTTGCATCAGCCCCCAGACCCAAAGTGATGTGAAGTGGCTGGGTTTGGGTTAAGTCGTTTCAAGAGGATGGGTGCTGACCAGCACCACGTCCGTTGGGTGGAGAGCACGCCCTGTGCGGAAAGCAGCACCTTAGGCCTAATTGGTGTTCTCTCTCAAACTTTGCATGCACACATGCACACACTTTTTAAAAAAAAAATTAAAAAAAAATACATTAGATATAATAGTTTTTCTGGGGAAAAAATCTTTGCAGCAGATGTTTCACCGTAACACAAATATTTCAGCATCTGTTTCATGTTTTCACAAATAGGTATTACCTTTCCATCCAGAGCCAGGAGCTGGATCCACTGCAAAGACTCTTTCCACTGTTCAGATATTGATAAAAGTATGCAGGATGTTGTTTTAGCAAAGATTTAAAGACACCATTAGTAGCTGAGCTAAATGTAAGGAAGGCAAATTGTAGTCTGCGTGATAACATTGGAAGGGGAGAAAAAATCCTCATTTTCTACTTTCTGTGCATAAAAGATCTTTGCAAGAAAACACCATGTTGTGTAGCACCCACACGGCAAAACAGTCAAGCCTTTTGGTCACTGGAAAAGAATGCTACCTCCTTTTTTCCTGTAAAGAGATAAGCTACCAAAGTAAACTACTGAATTTTATTAAAAGCTGAAGAGATCAGGCTTCCAGATTTTAAAACACTGAAGAAATCACACTTAAATGCTATGGATTTTTAGTATATCTTCTTGACTATTAAAGCCAACCAGCTTTTCATGTGCACATATTAAATGTGTTAAGATGATTTTTAGACTATTTAGGAAAATCAGTTTAATAATCAGTTTAAGAAATTGATTTGTGGTTAATAAGTTCCACTTAAGAGCAAATGAGAAAGAGAAAACCCTGGATTGTATAGACTCGACAGCAAAAACATTTTTGGAGTAGCAAGAAGATTTTCAGCCATTTTGGTTTGCTTCAGTGGTTGAAGCATGGGTTACTCCATACTTTGGGAAACCAAGCTGTGAGACTCAGGAGAAATGTTGTCTATTAATCAAGGGACCAGGGCAGTAGCTGCCAGGGAGGGGAAGATCTGTTTAAGGTACGGGAGAGGTTTGGCACAAGAGCAAAGGAGTTAATTGATCGTGAATAAATGTAGGTTGGAGAGTAGGAGCTTTGTACTGTCAGGGGAGCCCGATTCTGGCTCAGTCTTCCAAACACCAGGAACCGTGGTGGTATGAGACATCTTCCAACCTCAGGACATTTAGAATGAAGACACACATGGCAGTGTCTCAGTGAAATGTCTTTGCTGGGATTAAAGCACCAGCAGTGGCCAGTCTAGCTGTTTTGCTTCTCCTTGAACCTTGCTGTCATTGAAGTTTTTTTGAAGGTTGCCTGAATATAGCAATAAAATCAAATTCTGGTTTGATGTGAGTATATTCTCCCATTGCTCATTTGTATCTGACCATGACTGGTGAGTGAGTCAGGATGCCCCGCGCTCTTTGTGCCCTGCGTTGCCGTTGTAACACTCCTCTTGAGGGCTCTGGTGGAGAATGGGCCGTGCCCTATCTTCTTTTCACACGTCATGTTGTACAGGTGGGTTAGAAACACCGTCAGGAATCAATACTGAGGTATTGCCATGAAATGGAGCCCATGGGGCATCCTTTAGGCTTTGCAATTTGTTGAAATCCCACGGGACTGTCCTTGCCTTGCAGAGCAGAGGTGTGGGTTTGATGCCTATGCATTCAGCGTACAGAAAAATCATTAAGAACAGCAACTTTATCTCAAAGGGAAGGTTGGTTTCTGCAGTCAGCATTAACTAGCAGTGGAGCTGTTTCTTTGTGGGGCAGGCCTGTCTGGTGGCTGGATGCTAACCAGCAGAAGAAAGCAGGATCAAAGTACCTTTTTTTTTCCCTTTTCCCCTGCACAATCAGTTCTACCAACTGGTATAGCTGTTCTCATTAAAAAACGTTAGCTAGAAGGTGGTTGAGTCAGCTCTGGTTAGTAGCTAAGCGGGGGTTTTAGGTTGAGCAAAACCTTTGGGTTGGGTGGGCTCTACTGCTGTAATTTTGCAATCATGAGGCCAGCGCGGTTTCGTGTGATCCTGGATGTGCATCCAGATGAAACCCGTGGGAAGTTCTCCATGGGAGAGATCTTTGTGCCTGGCAGCCCAAGGCAGAAGGTGCACCGCAGGAGGGACCGAAGTTGTTACCAGAGGGCTGACTCCTTCCCGAACGGAGCGATTTGAAATGTGGTGTCTTAACTAAATCTCTACAGGCACCTGCTGCTTCTCTGGATGAAGTGGTGTAACTCAACTATCTCTGTGTCTTCATGACTGCCTGCCAGAGGTTCTGTGGTGGGAAACACTCTAAGGAGCGTGGCCCTTGCAGATACTGAACACATTCCTTGGGTGCCCCAGCCCTACTCTTGAATTCTGGTGCTGCAGGTAGCAGCAACTTGCTTCACAGATGGGTTTTGAAATCTATTTTCCTGCATGTTTCCTTAACAATTTCCTCATCTCCCCTCCACCCCTCCCCAACCCTGAGTTCCTTCTTACTCCAAGCCCAGAGCTGCTGATCACGGAAGCAGAAAAACACTATTCCCAGCTTGCATTTAGAATAAAATCAACATTTCCTCCCTCTCCCGTCCAAGGGGATAAATGATGCCTAGCTCCATTGCAGGCTACCCTAATGGGTGGGGAAATAAGATGTTGTCCTCTCCCTGTAAAGTGATGTGTGTGGAGGATGGGACTGAGCGTATGTCAGAGGTCTCAATGGTGCTTCACATTCACTAGAGCCCTTTCTCACTCCATCCTTCTCCCTTGCAGGCCATGGTGGAGACGGTGAACAATCTCCTGCAGCCACAAGCTCTAAATGCGTGGAGGGACCTGAACGCAAGTGAACAGCAGCGCACGGCCACCAAGTTACTCGACACCGTGGAGGACAGTGCCTTCGTGCTGGCTGATAACCTGCTGAAGACAGACGTTGTCCGGGAAAACACTGACAACATCCGTAAGGGACAGATCCCATAAATACCGAGAGCAGCTGAAGGGAAAGTAAAGGCTGGGAAGCCTGGCTTTGGTCTTGGCCCCAAGATTAACTGGAGAGCAATTTGTCAGATATGTCTTGGCCCTTTTTCTGAAGGACTTAAAAGTCATTCCAAAAGAGCCTAAAGGAATAAGGCAGCTCTCTACCCTTGAAATCCCATGGAAAATGAGCACCTAACCTGCCTTTATTACTGCTGGCTTTGAGGGCAGTCTGCGCTAGAGCAATGAGAGCACTGCTTCAGAGGGAGATTGTTCATCGTAACGCAATTGTGTTTCATTTCATACAAATTTGTGTCTTTATTTGGCTGATGGTTGATTTTAATTAAAAAACAAGCATGATGGAAAGCACCAGCACTCCCACTGTGCATATGTAAAATGAGAACAACTCTTCTTTCTATTTCTATGAATACAGATCCCAAGCACTGATAACATTTACAGAAAGTACCAATCGCCAGTGGCAAAGAACTAGCGTTTTCAGATTTTCATTTTAACCATTGTCCTTAATATCCTGAGGTTCTTGTTTACAAGAACTGGTTGTCTTTTGTCTTCCACAGAGAGTAGAATTTATTTGCCTTTTTTTTTTTTTTTTAAATTAAATTTAAAACTTCTTCAGGGCAAAGATTTAAAAAGAAATAGGAGGCCAAACAGAGTCTAGCGTGAAACATTGTAAGATGATTCCTCTGCTCTCGGATGCTTTTTTGTAGCTTTGAAGTATCGCATCGAAGATTATTTCAGTAGAGATTTTTCTTACTGTCGGTCTCTCTTGCAAACAGAGCTGGAAGTTGCAAGACTGAGCACAGATGGGAATCTGGAAGATCTGAAGTTTCCCCAGAACATGGGCCACGGGAGTGCCATTCAGCTGTCAGCAAATACCTTGAAACAAAATGGTCGAAACGGTAGGTCCAGCACGCCACGCCAGCCTCATGAATCAGTCATGCTTTAAGCATTGTTTTGTGTTTAACAAGTTGTAAGTATAGTATTAATCGCTATGTTAATATTTAAATTAACGGTAGCATCAATTGCTCATGCCCTTGACTGCAGCTGAGTCGGCTGACTGGGAATGTATTATATTGCTGAGTGATTCACAGCCTTCAAAAGTATTGCGTACTGGTAAAAATGCATCAGATCCTTAAATGATGTGGCTGTTGGGGCACAGCACCGAGTCCCGAGAAATGCTTTTAACTGCTGTTGTCTGCAGTAGGAGGCTTCAGATGGGAAAAGAGGCTTGTTTGAGTAAACTGCTTCACAGTGGGGCACTATACAAATATCTGAAAAGGGAGAGGGAAGAAAGAATAGTAGCAAATATTAATAATGAGCCAACATGGCAGAAAAGGTTGATTAACTGTTATGAGTCTAAATCTTCAGTGCCTTTCTCTGTGAAGCTTATGAACCTCCTGATATAGCATAAATTAAAGATGATGTTATAGGTGAATGGTCTTCATGCTGCCGAGCCGTTTATTTGCAGAGCAGGAATTTGAGCAGACACCTTTGTTGATCTCAGCAGCCCTGCTATAGACCAACTTCAGACTCCTGGGCTTTCTACTAATGGGCCTAACGTGCTCCTATTTCTGAGTTCCTTTAAAATTTAACCTGTGTACAGGGGGCGAGCACTCTAGTACAGACTTTGATCACTGCAGGTGAAACATGGAGTGATAGGGCAGTATTACAGCCAGACCAGATGTGTGATGTGTTAAAACTGCAAAAAATTTCTGACAACTGTTGAAAGAAGTTTGGTCTGATGGTTCGGGAAGAAAGTTTTGCCATTGGCTTCTTTGATGGGCTTTGGTACCTTCGCCTGTAGGATTTGAAGATAAGTATTTCTTTTCAAGACAGTGTAAAACCCAAGATGCGTAGCAAAACTCCAGTGGGGCAGGAGTTTCACTCCACTAGCAGGCTTTGGAGATTTGTGGGGAAAGAGAAACTGTGTTGGCAGCAAGGAAGGGGAAGTCTGTATTTCTGAGCATGGTATCACTGCAGTTCTGGTCAAATCAGGAGAGCCCCATCAATTTACACCAGCTTGGCACCCACCTAGAGGTCACCAAAGAGCTGGAAATGAAATTGTCGTAGAAGGATTTAGGTTGGGAGTGAGTTTTGGAGTCATCAGTGCTTCACCTTCCTCAGAAGCTGGGGTGATTCCTATAGAAACAAAAAAAAATGCCTCCCCACAACTAATACATATGAAGGCAAACTAATCACATTCAATTCTTATTTATAGCCTCTGAAATAATGTGCAAAACAGAAGGCAAACTAGATGGTTTCAGTTAAAAACAGTTGGCTGGTAGCCTGGGTTTTCTGCAGGCTCCGTAATGGTGGTTTTTTGGTGGAAGAGGAGATGTCTGATTGGCCAATTAAGAAAAGAAATACATTTTCAATGAAATTTCTGGAATTTTGTTTGACCCTTCATGTGAGATTGGAATTGTGTTGGAAAGTTTTGGATTCCTTCTCCCAGATTTATCCCCACACTTTTCAGAGGTAGTCTTTATTAATGGACTAAATTATAGTTTTATACTGCATCTGTGCGACAGGCCAGGATGGAACATGTTTCCCAAGCATAGCCTGGAGATAAAGTGTTATGTCAGGTGGGAACTGGGCCACCTGGCCTCTTCTCTCTGGAGCCAGTTACACCCACTGATGCCAAAAATAAGCCCACCTTCTCTCTCTGTCTTCTACCAATCTGTTTGCTTATAAAAGTTTGTTTTGAGAGAGGCAACTCTGCCCTTCTCATCCATGGACCACTTGTTGCACCTCGTGGTGCTCATTGAGATTGGCAGGAGGAGGTGAGTTTTCATGTGCCACATCTTGGTCCTTTCACATTGTCTCAGAGAAGTTTTAAAGTTGGTTCAGGGAAGAGATTTGTCATCTAAAAAAAAAACCAAAACCCACAACCCCTGTGCGCTAACCTGTATATCTAACCTCTTACTGCTCTTCTAGGTGAAATCAGGGTGGCTTTTGTGCTGTACAACAACCTGGGCGCCTATCTCTCCACGGAGAATGCCAGCATGAAGTTGGGAACAGAAGCAATGTCGACTAATCACTCTGTCATTGTCAACTCCCCTGTCATCACGGCAGCAATAAACAAAGAGTTTAGCAATAAGGTTTACCTGGCTGATCCCGTGGTGTTTACTGTCAAGCACATCAAGGTGAGGGAGTTTGAAAAGTGCTTCTTTTTTTTTTTTTTTCCAATTTCTGAAACAAAGTGATGCAAAAGTTGGCTGATGTGAGGCCCCCAGCAGTCCTTGATTAGATTTTGAATTATACATTTGTTCCTTTGCACTTTTCTGTTATTTATGGAGAATGTCTCTTTTACGTTGCATTAATAAAAGTAAAGAAAGAGTCTCCCTTGAGCTGATGCCCATTGCTCAGTAGCTGACACCCGTCATTCTGTAATTAAAAACTACCAATATATTAGAATAGACCATAATATTATTTTATCATGGTGGCAGGGAATATTAGAGGAAAGTGGAATTACAGTGAAAGAGGACAGCTAGTCCTCCTGTTAGCCAAGCACAGTCATTGCAAAAGTTGATTGCTTAAAGCAATTAATTTCTCTGCTCTGCAATGCAAATGAAGCAATCTGGTTTTGAAGAGCTGGATTTAGTCTGTGGCTGAAATTAATCAAGAACAAAGAACTAAGTTTGCATTAGCAAAGAGAGCAGCAACAATCTAACTTTCTCTGGTATGGGCAAGTAATACTTGACGTATGAACCACTGCTGATTGTTTATCCAAAATTAAAGGGTGAGTGTTACAAAGTGCCTCGGGGGAAAATGAAAAAAAAAAGTGATTTACAAATCTCTGAAACCCTGTCATTTTTATTGCATTTATTCATTTCTTCCCTGCAGCAGTCAGAAGAAAATTTCAATCCAAACTGTTCATTCTGGAGCTATACAAAGCGTACAATGACAGGGTATTGGTCCACCCAGGGATGTCGCCTCCTGACAACTAACAAGACGCACACCACATGCTCCTGCAATCACCTAACCAACTTTGCGGTCCTGATGGCGCATGTGGAAGTTAAGGTAGGCGTTGCAGATTCACGGGCTGCCAAGGCACTGGGCAGGAAAAGGGGCCGAGGTGACGCCATTTTCTTACTGCAAGTGGAGCTAAGCCACGAAATTACTGTGTGACAGTAACTCTCATGGTACAAACCATCTGGTGGAAATCTTCCTTCTGCTGTGTGGTGAAACAGGAGATAGTTGCACCAATGCAAAGGCTGTCTTGGGCTCCTGGCATGGGCAGCTCTGAGCTGAGGATGATGAGTGAGCGGAATTAGCTGTTGCCACATCTTTTGCTTACTGGTGCAGAACATCTCCTGGCTGGGTCCTTGCTGGTGGGAGCCTTGCTGTGCCGCTGGGGAGTAGTGAGCATCCTAGGTGGTGGGACAGAAGGACCTCGTAGGGTGCAAGTTGTGTGTCCTGCTTGCAGCAGCTGCAGATACACTGCCGTACGTGTTTGTGTGAGGGGGGTGTGTGGAGCCAAAAGTGTTTGCCAGCTTCCAACTAGGGGAAAAATATACATTCTTTGTGTCTCACTACGTGACAGCGAGCTAGACCTAAAAGGGCAGCTCCTTATACCATCCTGCATAGACTGTACATCTACCCAAGGCCAGTACGTGATCAGCTGGTTCCCTTGCCTGTATTTAGGTCCATGGTGTAATTCTGGCTTCCCACATGACTATCCCCACTGGAGCTAGAGAAGTTACTCCTGAAAGCAGATGTTCCTCATGGCAGCAGTGGCTGGGGGACTGAAGTGCACGTTTAGGTTTTTATTCAAGACTGGGAGAATGGTTGAGATGATCTTCCATTTCCTGAGCTGTCTTGGCTGTCTTTGGTTGAGAACAGTCTCAGCTGCTATAGAAAGAAGAGGAGAAGACCTTGATGCCCACAAGATTTTGGCCTAGTGATTTTCTGTGTTGCGGTGTCTCCATTTCATGTCCCTGGCACTGCAGCAGAATCCACGGCTCTGAGCTAGATACGGATCTGGCATCTTCCATGCAGGCAGAATATTGCAGAGCCACTTCCATGGCTGCATAACCACAAAAGCTATTACAGTTTTAAAAGACTTTTTCTCAGTCTTCCAGTCTCACTCCTTTGTATATTTTTGTTTCACTTGATAATCTGAAGAGGAATGTGAAGAGCTGCAATAAAAATATGTATTAAAAGCACCATCATCCGTGACTAAAGCTCTGCAAAAAAAGAAATGGGAGCCTGGCAGTGCATTCGCCACAACAGCTGGGTCCAGCTGAGAGGAGCAGGATAGATCTGCTGCCGCTGCAAGATGACGTATCCATTGTATTCTGCAGGAGTCACTACCCGTCCAGGAGACAGGCCGTTAAATGGCTGTGGCATTATCCTGGGAGATGCCTGAAGAAATGGCCTATTCAGAGCACATGTTTGCAGGTTAATGGCATTCTGCACTCCAAGTCTTTTTTTGCGAGTTTCCAGCAACTGCTTGAATTTTCAAGAGATGTGTGTTTGGCTCGTTATCACCTGCCTGGAGTTAGCAGATACACCTGAGTCACTGAAGTCAGAGGTTGCACCTGGGAAATGCAGATAGCTTTCCACTCCACTGATGTGAATGAAGGTGATCCCTACTGCGTGGCGCAGATACAGTCTAGCGCCGAAACAGCCTCTTCCCAAACTGCAAGTAGGTCAGCTTTGTCTGCACAGCATTTCACCCAAACCTCATTAGACTGGTAGCACTGGTGTTATCTCATCTTGCAGAAGCAGAATGTGAGACCCTTTCTTGCCCATGCTCAGCCGGCAGGTTGGAAATAGCTACAACTGGAAGCTTCCCAAGTGCCAAGCCAGTGTGCTATTAGCCAGTGGGTGTTTCTGGGTGTTAACGAGTGCCTTCAAGACTTTCAGGTCATGTTTTTATTATTTGGCTGCAGCCAAAGTATCATTGCTGTAAAGGCCAAATTGGCTCCACTTTGTTGACTCTGATGCAACCTGGCATGTCCGCTTCAGCGATCATCCCGGTCTGAGAGTGAAGGGAGGGGCCTACGCTGCAAACATCTGCGATTCTTCCCTCCAACTGTTTGTCACCTTGCTCTTCTTGATGGCACCATCCCGCTCCGGTCTGTTGGTGGGGCTGGCCGTGTGGCCCTTGGCAAATCTGAGAGGTGGCTTGTATGACGTTCTTTATGCTGTTGCAATGAGTTGATTTTAAAGTCTTGATAGCAGGATACCTGCTGCTTTGGAAAGGTGGAGGTTTAAAAATAAATGTGAGGGTTTTGTTGTTCATTGACTCACATTCATCTGTTAGGCAGGATGTTTGAGCCATTTTGTTATCTCATGTCTTGTACAAAAAGGCATTCCTTGCCTCAGAGACCTTTTAGTCTTCGTAGAGGTGGAAGGATCCTTGGGGAAAGGATGTTGCATGCTTGTGCAAGACCTCTTACAGCAGTGTTCTGGGCAGTGACTAGGATCCCTAAAGAGGACTGTCATACACACAATAATTAATAGTATTCTGGGAGTTCTGCAACAGGAACAATTTTCTCCAGTAATTGAGATTTGTAGTCTACTGACTTCAGTTTGTCAGATTTTTGGATCCGTAGGGAGCGTCCTTTGGTGTCGTGAGTATCCACAGCACCCTACCTAATGAGACCGAACACTGGGCATCGTGGGGAGAGAACATTAGAGTCCTGCTCCTTAATCAAAAGCCAGCAACAATTTGACAAGTGTCACTTCTGGTCGTGAATGATCTCCCTCCCTGGTAGCATGGCAAAAGAACATGTTCTCTGGAGGAGACCTTGGTGGCTGCTCTGCGAGTTGCGGGCTGGGATTTAATTATTAGCAGAGCATATGTGGCAAGGCGGAGCTGGAAGGTAACGCCGCTGAGGAGATGATTGATGGCCGTCTGGCTCTCTAGCATGAAACAGCAATATGTCTTTGTCCGAAGGGGCAGAAAATTACATTGGCTGACCGCAGTGGCAGGGATTTATTGATGTGCTTCAAGAGTAGAAGTTGCTGGGATCAAGTCCAATCTTAATAGGATAGTACCCGATTAAGGGGAGGAGATTTTAATTTGAAGATGCTTTCTGCCTATTAAAATTAGTTGGGCCCAGAGTTTCTTACTCACCGATGTATTTCAGCGAGGTAGATAATGGTGCCCAAGACCAAGAGCCTGGTGTGCACATAGGCGGGATGCATAGCTGCTGGGACGAGCAATGGACCCGCACCCGTAGGTGCCCCTCTGGCTGCTGTCAGAGCCCCAGGAACATGGGCAGGGGACAGCAGGACCGTAAGGATCTGTGAGCTGGACTTCGCTGATGCATCCTCCTGGCAAGGGATGACCTTCCAGACCTGCAGCGTTCGTTGCCCTTTCGAAAAAAACAGGAAAAATGAGAAGCTTCCTTTGGAGAGAGATTTTAAGACTTGGAAACAAATCACTGTTTTCATCAGCTAAGAAATTCATTTGGCCTGTGTTATGGGAAAATTATTACAGTCTCATCGATATTTTGTTAAATTATGAGTTACGTTTAACATAGATGAGATCTATGTTAAATATCTAGCTATTGTTTGAATTGGTAGGATATTTGTTATGACCCTTGAATGCTATAAAAACATGGTGGTTTCCATGCCATGGGACAAAGCCCGTAGTTAAATAAGCCATTCTACCTGTGTAATTGCTGCAGAATTATTCAAAATTTACAAGCTGTTTTTCATACAAGCTTGTGCTTTGCGTCATATTAATTATAGCAGATGCATCTTAAATGTACCATGGGAAAAATATGCAGCCAGAAAACAAGTTCAGAGCTGGTGGGGAAATGCAATTGAAAAAACCACCCAAAACAGAATAAGCAAAGTTACCTTGGGGTAGATAAATATTGCTTATCAGTATGTAGGGAATGCCAGAGCTTACTCTTCTTTTAAAAACTAATAAATAAAAAAAAAACCACAAGAGAGAAAGAGGGGAAAAAAGGAAAGGTGTTTTAACTGTAGCAATTAATCGGAAGCTTTCAGATGTTATTCTATACCACAAACATGTTACACTGTGCTAATTATTTGGGGAATGGAAGCGTCAGGCAAGCTAAGGAGAGAAAGGAATAAAAATATATGAAGTCTAAATGGAATGCAGTGGTCCATTGCCTAAAGCAATACAGCCATTTCAGATATAAAGAGCAAGCTGAAGTTATTGCAGTGCTGGCTTATCCATATATTAGCACTTGCGGGATTGAACAGCAGTGAATGAAAGCAGAAGTGGGTGCAGGATTGCAAAAACACCCTAACTGCGGAATTAAATTACTGAAACCGCTATGTAATGAATTTTGCAAGACAAATCATTTTGTACTATCAAAGGGGTTAATTCTCAAAAAAAAAAGATACGTGACATTTCGCAAAAAGTAACTTATTCTAATATGTTGTTAAATAAGAACTGGTTTAGTTAAGCAGAAAAGTTATTAAATGGGCTTGTCTTCAATGAGATTATAAAATTCAAAATACAGCAGTATTTGAGCTTGTGTTAGGAACAGAAATTGATGACTTCGATGAACTCCAATAATAAGGAGTTTGATTATATCTCAGGGCAAATATACCAATTAGATCAAGTAATCTGTGCCTGCAGGGTCGATTCAGATTCGTACCTGTTAGCAGTCCTTGAGCTTTTTGTTTAGGTGGGCAGTAAGTTGCTCTGGGGAGTTCCTAGAGTTCCCCACCCTCCATTTGACACACGTTGGTTTGTGATGTTGAGCCCTAGTTGTGCCTTACTGCTTCTAGTTCTGCGGGGTTGGAGGTCTCGCTCATCCTTGTCTGTGCGTTCCCTGAGGCATTGACCCAGATCTTCTCATGTAGCCGGTTTTGGATGTCCAACCTGAAAACATCTAGAGTCTGGCTTCAGAAAGACGTACTCTGAGCCCTTGAATTTGCAATTTCTTAATTGGGCACTTACAGGTGTCAGAAATTTGAGCGCACAGCAGCTTATTAGCCATGTCTTGCTTTCCCCCGAGTCCAACAGCTTCCTATTTGATTACCATCGCCCTTCTTGACTCTCCGATCTGCAAGCCAGTTGCACAGTA